CAATTTTTCCGAAAGATTTATGACCACATTTCCTAAAGACAATAACACTCGTTCTGGCTATTATAGTCTCAATAAATTTTCCAAGTACATTAAGGTCCTGAAAGATCCTTTACCTCCACCATCTCGACCTTTCGTCTTTTACAAAATTAAATGTCGTGATTGTGAGGCTTCCTACGTAGGTCAGACCAGTAGAATGTTACAGACTAGAATAAAAGAACACAAGAATCATATAAACCGAATCTCCACACAGAGTTCTGTGATAACTAAACATAAAATAAATTTTTCACATGAATTTGATTTGGATTGTGTTGAAATTTTGGACAGTGAAAGATCTTACCAACGTTTAATCTCCGAGACTTTGCATATCAAGAGTCAAAGTCGCGGTCTTAATTTACACAGTGACACAGAAAATTTAGACAAATCGTATTTACCATTTGTAGATAACACGTATTCTTACCCACACAGCAAAATATATCATAAAGATATCTGGAAGATATCTAAATATCAGAATATCTGATTGCGTAAATACTAGTCAGATATCACTGAGATATCTGAAAGATGTCTTCCAGATTCTAAAAAGGCATGATTATTTCATCTGTCATATGATATCTGATTTTGCGTTAAATATTAGAGATTTATATTTCATTATAAAATCGGATTGTATATATAATATTGCAGATGAGACATGTGATATTATAAAAATGTATGTTTTGAAAATAAGTAATTTAATAATATTTATTGTAAAAATAATTATTTTTTACAAAAATAACATACGTATATTCTGGAGATTATAAAACAACGNATATACATAAACAAAAGTAAAATTTCATACATATTATATGCAGAAAGCGCAAGAGTAATCTTATAATTTATATCACATTCATATATAAATGAAGCTTAAAAGATCGATTTTTTCATTTGATAAATAAACCATATCATTATATTAAGAATAAACCTTAAAGTTTAACCGCTTAATCGGTTTTTGTCATAATTATTAAGTATTAACGTATAATTATTATAAGTATTAACATACCAGCGTTTTCGAACAATTTCTTTTAAACATATCTTTATATTTATCTTATTTAATAACACAAAGCAAAATTTTTAACTGTTAAACGTTGTCGCTTTTTTCACTGATGAAAATTAAATTAAAAATATAAAAGTGTATACATCATAACAAATTATAATTCTACAAAAAATAAATTATCACATAATTGTACATACAATATTACAATAGTGTGTAGAAAAAAATAATTGTAAAATATGTATATAGCAAATATACATATATAGCATACGTATATATATATATATATATATATATTGTGACGTGGTGTTCGCGCCGCTTCCCTCCTTGCCACAAAAGGTATCTTCCGAGGGAGTCTCGAAGTGTGGGCCGGTCTTAAGCGCCAGGATCCTCCAAGGCTTGCGCACCGTATTACGTTTTAGTTACTTATTTCTTTTGTTTTGTATTCTTTTTTTTATAATATGTAAAATTAGCGCTTCACCACCCGAGGGCTCACCCCGCCGAAGGACATCGAGGGAGACGAGTAGACAGGAAATCTAGCGAGAAACAAGGCGCGAGCCTGAACCCAGGGGATCGAGGAAGCGCCAGTGGCAGCGTACAGAGACTACGGTCCTGATTTAGTCGGCAGGCTCAACCCTTTACGTCAGGGAGCGCAAGCGGCACGCGATCGACAGCGTCGCTAAGCGGCCGTAACCACCTGCAACTATGAACGGGCAAATCGGCCTTTGAGGCCAGCTACTAGCTCGGAGGAGCTTCGGAGCCGAAAGAAGACCTTCTGGAGGTCCACCCCAGTCAACCGGACCCGATACCGTCGGACAGACAAAGGAGAAACCCTGCAAAGGGGAAACCAGTTCATATTTCGCGGGTCGTGCTCTAGTAGCTCACGCGACCGCAAGCGCCGCGCTTGATACCACGGCGCGCTCTGATTGGCCGGCGAGGCCGACCCCCCGCGATCCCAGCGCGCCCCGGCGCATCGACCCCGAATCGATCGCAATCCTCGCTCTCTTGGTCGTTAACCGTTGTACAAGTCGGACGCACGAAAGGACTCCCGGGAAGTATCGTCCTGCAGCTAACGGAAAGAAAGAACGTGATGTCCCAGAACGACGATATCCGGTGAGGTGCCTCGTTTCTTGCAGCCACGAATCTGCGTGCCAAGTTCTGTGTCGAGGCTAGTCGCCGAATTTTCGCGTTGAGTATCAGGCAAGGACGAAACCTTCGCCATATTGGTTTTTGGAAGGCGGCTAGAATCGGATTCACGGGGCTTCGTGGTACTATTTCGTAGACTGAAGTGCGTTGAGATTTTGCGAGTATTTTGTTAACTACTGTGATCAGCTCTGGAGTCGCTCGGGAGGCGCCAAGTAGCATCCCTTAGTCTGTAAGAATTTTCGTTATAGCTTCTGTACGACTATTTTCTGTTGCCTTGGTTATTATCGCCTTGTATGTATTGCTTTGCGTTGCCATATCGCGTGCTGTCGTAACGATTTTGCGATACCGAACTTCGTACGGCTGTCGTATCGGTTTGACGACGCGAAATCCGCGTGGCTGTCGTATTGACCTTGCATTTGCGAGACCCTTAGAGTTGTCGTATTAATCGCCGATTTTGCCCGGAGTCGCGTTGTCCGGCGGAACGCTACCGGAGAGCGCTGCGCGTCTCCTCGACCCCGCGCGCTCCCTGCGGAAGTAGCNTCCTGNAAANNTANACCATCGAAAGCTTTGTNGCCGTGNGTNGGCCGTGCATTTGCGCTATTTAACTGCCAGCATTGTAAAAAGCCACCCCCAACGATTCGGGCAGAGGAACGCGGTTCTATCGCTGTCGATGCATTGACCATTCGACCTTGTTGAATATATCGCTTCGGCCGCGCGACGTGGTGACGTAGTTTGCTATTTTGCGTGTTTGCGTTCTGTTCATACTAATTGCTGTGTAATATCTTTTGTTAATGCTTTTCCGTATCTTTGTTTAAGCTCTCATTTATTTTTATATTTCTTTTCTTTATTAATAATTCTGCTATATCATATCGCTTTTCTTTATTTACAACTCGTTCACACCTGCTTTCTTTTTTTTTATTTACCTGCCTCTTATATTATATCAATAAACTTGTTACTTAAAACTTACTAGCACCTGTTCACGCCCCTTTACCCCTTTTGCGCCCCTTTCTTTCCATCTTAGAAGGGACAGCCTGTTATTTAAAGACAATAGACCCAACACCTCTCCGTTCTCATCAAGCTAGTCGGCCCGTTGTGTCGAGCGACGCAAATTTTGACGCGGCAACGCGTCTGGCGCCCAACACTCCATCCAAGGATCCGTCGGCTCGGCGTAGCGGTACGCTCGTGTGACCACCCTTTTCTGTCCTGTCGATACAGACGTTCCCGATCCCGCGGACTCCCGTCCGTGTCCCGATTTCACACTTCCGTTTCGGGCGGGAAGACGCGGGAAATTATTAATACCAACGAAAAACGTCACAATATATATATATATATATAAGCAATTGCTTTTTAGTCGTTATAATGACGATGAAGACTCCTCATCTAAGTTTTCAAAACAAGAAATTGTTTTTTTATTGATTGTGTCAAAAGCGTTGTCATTATTATTTTCAATATCAGTAAAAGTAGTAGTAGTTTCACTGTGTCATCTACAAGAGAGAAAACTTCTTCGGTTTCAGGTATATGTTTCTGAAAAGTTTGATTTCTTCCAGTTTGATGTTTTGATTTTCAGCTGTCAAGAAATTAATAAAGTAAGAATAGATAATAAAAAAAAAGTTGGTAGAATAAGTTAATATTTACGTTTTAGCTCGACCAATTGATTGGCGGAGAAATTTCTTAATGCTTCCAATAATATCTTCCTTAGTTGCATCAGCTGCAAATGCTCTTCCTTCATGTTTAGTATGCCTAGTTGCACCTAATAATACAATTATTAAAAAATGAACTATGAGAGGAACTTGTCTTGCAAAGAAATTTTCTTTAAATAAAGTTTAAAATAAATAATATATCTTTGTTGAAATAAAAAGTTGAAAATAAGGATTAAAGAAATGGATCATTTTTGAAATATAAGCTTTGAGAAAAACAAGATTAGTTTAGCAAAACAATATTCTATTAATATCAATTAAAGGCACGATAGAAGTCTAGCAAGAAACCGAAAAAATACTTCAAATGCAAATCTATTTGTATTATAAAACAGAATAATCTACTTTTCAGCATTTTAATAAAAATACTGAAAACAGATAGCTGAAATACAAGAATGTCGATAAAATTAAAACAAATATAAAGAAAGTTGCCGTAGAAATAATCTGTTAGTTGAATAGTCTGTTTTTCATATACATAGATCTGCATTAGAAAATATTTTCTCGGTTCTTTGTTAGATTTCAATCAAACCTTCAATTGATATTAATAATACATAATTATATCAACTGATATTAATAATACATAATACATAATACATAATTTTTATTAATATCATTCGTGAACGCAACAATATTACATTACTTTTTGAAAAAACTTACAAATCACAGCATTCACTAATCCTTTAAGAAGATTGAATTGCATCTTGCCTTTTCCTCTATGCCAGCTGTATTTTTTTTCGAGAGTGCAATGGATCATTCTTTTTAAACTTGCCATTGAAATTTTTTTATAATTTTTTTCACCTAGTTTGGACATGAGCAAGATCTAGAAGACAAGTATTAAAAGAATATTAATCAAAAGAAAAACCCAGAGAAAGAACATATTAAGTATTTGACTATACATTATTTTATATATATATATATATATATATATATATA